ACTGGCCTAGGAGTCATTCATGTTATATTCTGACAAAGAATGTGATTTCATCCTGCCGTGTCCTGAGAACTTGAACAGGGTGGAATTCAAAGTCATGGACTAATTTGGCAGAGGAAATCTCAACCCTGGAGAGCCTTCAGGCCACATCCTGGTTACTGCTTACTGCTCTCATCCAAGTCTGTAGTTAGAGAAAGCAAGTGGTACAGAAGGCTGGAAAATGTCCTCCTTAAAGGGGAAGTTCAAAGTTACAGACTAGTCAAGTGCTCTCAGGTGAGACTGTTAGAAGTTAGCATCCTTAAGGAGAACCCTTCTGCTCCACTCTGGGACAATAGGGAAGGTGTTACGGGCAAGGCCTTCCCACTGAGGTGCCATCTTGTGAAGATCAATGAGAACCTAAAATGTGAATGTCACTGAGCAGTTCCCTGCTCAAAACCAACCACCTAAACATACAAAGGAACCACCACTGTGGTTCAAGGGGGGCCAGGCTACATCTTATGCTGGCTATAGAACTTGGCACTATGGTCTATGACCACATCCTGAATGTTTCTGATCTCATCTCATTTGGGGAGTTAAGCAAGGTCTGACCTGGTTAATACTTGGGTAGGAAAACTGGGTATTATCACCCATGTGATACTGGTTTAGGAGTAAAAAAAGATGTGAGATTAAAGATCAAGGCTTGCACCAAGATCCCAGAAGGCTGGTGAGGTCAGGCAGTGTGTGGTAAAGTAGAATTCACTTGCAAGGAAGTCCTGAGAGTCTTGGTTATGGTTTCCATTGCTGTAAAGAGACTCCATGACCACAGCAACTCTTATAAAAGAAAATATTTAATTGGGGCTGGCTTACAGAGGTTTAGTCCATTGTCATCATGGTGGGAATCAAAGCAGCATGGTGCTGGAGAGGTAGCTGAGAGTTCTACACGTTGATCTGCAGGGAACAGGAAGTGACCTGTCCTCTATATTGGGTGTAGCTTGAGCATATGAGACCTCAAATCCCACCCCCACAGTGGCACACTTCTTTGAACAAGACCATACCTACTCCAACAAGGCTACACCTCCTAATAGTGTTACTCCCTAGAGGCCAAGCATTCAAACACATGAGTCTATGGGAGCCAGACCTATTCAAACCATCACATCGAGAGACCATTGTGTGAAAATGTGCAGGTGAAACCTGAGCTGCAGTGGAGACCCCAGGATGTTGAAGATGCCAGGACCATAGGATATTAGCTGAGGGAAGCTGGAAGCTTGGCGTGGAGATGGCCCACAGAACTGGGAGTGGGTGGACACCTATGGACTGTGACTGATACCATTGTGAGTCCCAGATGCCCAACATGGAGCTACAGGATTTCTTTGGTGTTTCCCCACCGACTTTCAGACTTGTTTTGGTCTGATTGTTTCTTGGTATGTTTCCATTCCTCCTTTTTGGAGTGGGAGTGTTTATTGTCTGCCATTGTATATTACATATAGTTCTTTTTTTTTATTTTATGGGAACTCACAGTTAAAAGTTTGCCTTGAGTATCAGATAAGACTTAAGCTTTCAAGCTGTCTTGGAACTATTAAATACTATGGGGACTTTGAGAGAGGGAATAAATGCATTTTACATTATTAAACAGTTGTAAGCCTATAAGGACAAGAGGAGAAAGGTTTGTAGCTTTCAAGTGATACGTCTAGGTGTCAAGTGGACAAGGAGTAGACGTGCGATTGTCAACTCAATAGGATCCAGAGTCATCTAGGAGACAACGGAGACAACTGTCCTCACGTGTCTTTGAGAGAGAGAGAGAGAGTTCCTAGGTTACATTAACTGAGATGTGAAGACCCTCCCTAAGTGAGGGCTGCATGATTCCATGGGCTGGGGGCCCAGACTGAATGAAAAAGGAGAAAGTGAACTCAGCACCAACATTTAGAGAGACCGCTTCCTGACTGGATGCTGTGTGACCAGCTGCCTCACCCTCCTGCAGCCTGTCTTCCTCACCATGGTAGATTGTACCCTTTGCCTGTGAGCCATAAGGAGCCTTTCCTCCCTTAAGCTGCTTTTGCCAGTCACTTGGTTACTGACATCACGATGGCGGTGGCACCGGTGCTCCCTGGTCTCTACCCTGGAGCATCCTTGAGCTCCTTACACTCCTGAATCCAAATGCCCTCCCCTTGTACAAGGGCTGGTTACAGTCCTGTTTGGGGCTGTTCTCATCACCCTGTGCTACCACGTGGCTCTTGGAGGTCCCTAGCCCTGAGCACAGCTCTGAGAAGGCTTCAGAGTCGGGACATGATTTCACACACTCCAGTGAGTGCCCGTCCTGTCATGAATGCCGAGCTGTGTCCTCTGCGCCCTTGTCTCTCTGAATGGATCACCTAGACTGGTGACTTAAGACTAAGATCTCCGAATGGTCCTCCAGATGACCTGGATAGGCTGGCCCTGAGGCCCAGATAGAGCTCCCACCCAAACCAGGAATTGTCATTCACCAGTGCTGCACAGAGCAACTCATGCTTGCCTTCCTGTTAGCGCTCTACTAGTCTACGGTGCCCTGTGAGGACAAACAACATGGATACACTCATTTCCAGATGAGGAAACCAACACTCCGATGAAGGGACTTGCTTAAGGCTGCCCACTCATGCACTTAGACCCCTGGATCGTCGCTGGGTCCCTGAGAGGAGGAGGGAGCTTTTAACCAGAGCTGACAGACTTTCTTGGTAGAGCCATGCTATCTATCCCTTGCTGGCTCTGCCGTGAGGTGTGGGTGAATGGGCTATGGAGTCTCATAAGTTGAACTTCATACCTTGTTGTAAGGATGGGCTGAGGGCTCGAGCACTTGTTTGGGCCACAAAACACTGGATTCCTATAGAAACAGGCAGTTAGTTCACTGACACAGCCATCTCACACAAGACAGATATTAAAGAGCAACTCTAGGTCCCAGCTGCTTCCTGGGCTCTCCTGAGGTGACCAGGGAAGGAATAGGAAGCAGATCAGGAAGTGAACCCCTTGAATCCTGGCAGTTGAGCATGTTCTTGCTCCCACCTTTACAGAATCCTCTAGTTGCCTTGCCCTGCATGCCCCCAAATTCTTCCTAACACACATGACTCTCACACCGTCCCCAATGCCTAGACCATGCCGTGATCAGAATTTCAACTACATCTCCCAGAGGCTCTGGGGCCCCTGGCCTATGCAATAGTCATGTTCAAACTCCTACGGTGTGGAGGGGGCAGGCACTGCTGCCCTCAGTGGAGCTGTTACCAGGAGGGCTGTGGGATGCCCACTGGCACTGCCTACTCACTCATGTGGTACAGCAGCACTCAAGGTTGCAAGGACAGCCTGCCCTTGCCACTCATCCCAAACCACAGCTGCGTAGGGGTGGGGCCAGGGCTCTGAACTCCAGGTGCATTTCCTTCCCCTGAAGTAAGCAGAGGCTCTACCCCCCACCCGTGCTGGTTCTTAAGGCCAGGAGAGGAAACTCAAAAGTATCCAGAAGGTCAGGACAGCAGAGAGAGCAGCTCCTAGGAACTTGGTGGTCCCAGGAAAGCTTGCCAAGGGAAATATAGCCCTGACCCCCGGCCACATGGTTCCCCACCTGCCAGCACCTCCCCAGGCCCAGCCAGCTTGTGACTAAGAAAAAACAAGCAACTCCACTGATGCAATTAGGAAAATGTTATTTTTCAGCCGCTGCCAGATCCCGGGGGTTGAAAATGTGACCTGAGAAACATGGGAGTGTTGTCACTGGCAGCCATGGCTGAGACGTCACTGGGCCTCTCCCACCTCCAGGGGGAGTACCCACCTTTATCTGCCCGCTGATAGCCGAGGAGGGGGGATACACACACTCTTCCCAACTTGAGAATGAGAGAGTCCACCCTCTGCCTAAAGCAAATGTTCCCTTCATCTTCTGCCCTCATGCCAATCACACAGCCTGTGACCTACTTTAGACAAACACAGGACAAACCCCTTCCCCTCAGTCCTTATTTAGAGAACTTAAACGACGAGGCTAGTGCTGCCTTCTTGGGCTCTTTGCTCTCGGCTGAGCCAAGCTGGGGCACTGCTCAGTCTGATAGTTGTGGATTAACCATTCTGCCTTTGGCATCCTACCACAGACAACTAGAAGCTTAGAAAGAGAATGGCCTGGGGCTGAAGCTCCCCAAAAAGCTCTGCTGTGCCAGGGCACAAGAAGCACAGGACTATGGTTAGATCAGGAGCCCAGTGGACCACGGTCCCCCACAACTCCTACCGTGGGTCTGAGCCTGTGTTCTCCTGGTATATGTAAGCCGCTTGCTCAGTCCAATGCTATCTGTCAGGGTTTCTACAGGTAGTTAGGGGTTTCGGGCTTCAGGATAGATGTGCCCAGCTTGCTGCCCCAGGAGGCAGGGAACTGAAGCCTGGCGGACTCTGAGGCCACTCTCCAGGTGTTGTATATGGTGAGTGCAGCTGAAAACGGATATGGAAGGAGAGGAAGACAGGAAGAGGCAAAGGGTGGAAGGCCTGCTGGCCACCTGGGCGAGATCTTCCTGGTGTACAGAGTCTGCCCGCCCCCATGATCTACCTGACACTGTATCAGTGACTCCCATGATTGGGATCGGAGTCTGTGAAAGCCCAGAGTCGTTAATCTCATCTGTTCTGATGTGTTGCCCTACAGCTTCTCTTCTTAAACTGCCTATTGCCACCCAGTAGTGAGGGAAGCTGAAAGGAGGCCTTGAGGGTGGCTCCAGAACCTGAAGAAAGCAGAGCAACCGGCCTTGGAGCTGACTGTGGAGGCGGGGAGGCTTGCCTGGCCCAGGTCCAGGGAAGAGGAGGGCTCCCATGCCAACCCAAGGAAGACCAGGGACCTTCGTAAAGGCTATTCTAGAGTTAGCCATGACCACTCCCATCTCCAAACCTCCACTCTTCCTGGGGTGGCAGGAAAAGAGAGCTTCGTGCAGGGCCCAGAGGACCCCGGAAAGCGCCCCGCCCCTGCCTAGCCCCGCCCTCAGCCCCGCCCCCTGCAGGTGCTAGTCCCGCCCCCCAGGGGGGTCGCGGAGGCCCAGAAGCGGCTGGCCGGGGTCCGCGCGCGTCCGGCGAGGGCGCGGGCGGCGAGGGGCTGCTGCCGTGTGCGGGCAGCCATCCCTGCGCGGAGAAAGTCGGCCGCGGGGACTTGCTCCTGGATGCCGCCAGTCTCAACAATGAACGACCGGGACACGGAGGTGCTGCCCTTGCCGCCGCGGTACCGATTCCGTGACCTGCTTCTGGGCGACCAGCCGTTCCCGAATGACGATAGGTAAGTGACGGAGCTGTCCGAGGTGCTGAGTCCCGCATTGCCTCCCCCACCCCCTTCCCCAACACACATCCCCACCCTCACCGCCACAGCGCCCTTCAACTTTCCCGGTTTCCCTGGCGAGAAGTTTAGGGTGGGCTGAGATCAGGGCGCACTTCCCTGCGGGGGCCTGAGCGAGACGCGGACACGGACACAGACCCCGGGGCTAGCAGGCTCCGAGGCTGAGCTGCCCTAGGGGTTGGGGGGGGGGCGGTAAAAGAGGAATCTAACTCTGTATCCCCGTGTGCACCTTCTCTTAGCCCCAACCCCAGCGAACCACTGATCTGGGGACCAGCCAGAACCAGACACACTAGGGCCTCGCAGCCCAGCAGGCAGTCACCAGGGGTCAGCGTCCTCCGGGCTCATTTTCAGCGTGGTCACATTTTCAGAGTGAAGGTGTTATGACGTTACGCTCCCTCACCTCAAATTCTCCTCTGTGCTTTAAACAGGGATCAACAGCATGAGCCTATGGGAATAACTCATAAGTGGAGGGGCTTGGCAAGAAGCCGGAAAGAAATATCTCTTTCTGCCTTTTCCCCAAATAACTGTCTTGGGTAAATACTGGTGTTCTCGCTGACAGCCTCAGGGGAGGCGCTTTCACACTAGCAAAGGAAGATGGTGAAGGACTCTGGCAGACTGGAGAAGGCTGGCTGGAGAGGAGAAGGCTTATGATAAGGAACTTCTGCTCCTGTGTGTATGCCCGGGTTGCAGTTTCCCCCAAACAATGTAATTGTTAGAACAGAAAGTACATGAGCCTGCAAACTGTCAGGACACACACTGAGCCCTTAAAACAACCAACTGCTGAAATCACACTGGAAAAGAAATCATTTTTGTGAGCAGGTCAGTGTGTGGGGGCTACGTGCAGAGAGCTGCAGCCCGTGTGAAGAGTGATCTTGACGGGCAGTTGCTCTGCCTACCGGAAGCCATCTCCTGCCAGGCCTCCTCTGGTGTTCAGATGCAACAATCACATAGAGCAGGGCGAAGGGGAGTGTGTGTGTGTGTGTGTGTGTGCGCGCGCGCGCGCACGCGCGCGTGTGTGGACGTGAGTGTGGACGTGTATCTGCATGTGTGTGTACGCATGTGTATGTGTTTGTGTGCACACATGTGTGTGTGTGAGTTCTGAGTCTTCACTGACTAGAGCCAAGGAGTCTGAGTCTTGTGTAGGCTTGTTTGCTCATTTGTCATTTGTTATGTAGTTCGGACTCACTTTGATTCATTATCCCCCTGCCTCAGCTCCCCCCAACTGCAATTGTGTGCCACTGTCCTGGTTTCGAGGTGCTTTTACATTTTGTGCTTTCTTGTTTGACAAGAAACAGTAACAGGAAAGCCTGTCCAGGAAGGATGCCCTGGTAATGGTTTAGTTAGCAATGTCTGCTCAGACAGTGGCAAAGATGGTGTCTTGGCCCTGGCATCTGTAGGTGGGGACTCCTTTGCCCTCCTGGGACCCTCACAAGGCAGGGGTGGGGCTTCTGTGGGTCCAATTTCCTGTGCTTGACATCTTAAGTCAGCACCCCTTTCCTCCTGGGTGCCTGCTCCAGTGGGATTTGATGAATTCCGGAAAATAGCAGCTGCGGGAAGATTCTCCCAGTGCTGGGGAAGAAACAGCATCTGTCTCCCCGAGGTGCCTGGGGCCTGACTGGACAGATGCCAGTGTCTGAGGTTGATATGAGTTAAAGGCTGCATGCCTTCCTTCCCAGGCTGGGCTAGTGAAGGTTTCTGTTGTCAGCCATAGGGTGGCAGCCACAGTCTGCCTGGCTACAGTCGTCTTCTGCCCCAGGGGATAAAACAACTGCTATCAGGCCCATGCCACTTTGTTCAGCACTTTTAATTGAGAAATATAGGAAACATACATTTTAAAACATAAACTAACCAGAGCTGGCCCAGCCCTCCACTCCCAGAAACCAGAACATGGCCATCATCTTGAAAGATAAAGATCTCCCTCCCCTTCCAAGTCGCTCCCTTAGCTCTGAAACCATCTCTGTCTCATGGGGGCTGTTTTAGTATCAGCTGCAGAGCGAGGGTGGGTCTGGCCCCTCTTGGCCCCCCAGGTCCTCATCACAGGCAGGTGATACAGGACACTGTGGGCTGAGATCTGTCCTGAAGCACCTGAGCTCTGTGTTGTGCGCAGACCCTGCAGGTTGGATCCTGGCCCGATGGCCCTGCCGTTACTCCCACTTAAGGAGCCTTGTCCCTTTTCTCCTCATCCCCCATGCCTGTCTCCTCTTCCTTCTGCACCATCATTTGTTCTCAGGGTGAAGGATGGGACTGGGGGGAGGATTTCACAAGTACAATGATGTCCCAGGAAGCTGTATCATGTGTCTAGAAGTGCTTAGTCTGGGATGAGAAAGAAGGACAGGCTCCATCTGTCCCACCTACTCTTAGGAGTTCTCTGGAATAGGTTAGGGTCCTGGGACAGGGTTCTCAGGCTGCAGTGGGTGGACTCTTGTGCAGCATAGAACTTCCAGGATCCAGGGCAGTGGTCTCAGCTAGGAGGCATCTGGGGTAAGTGTGAGTTGCCCCAGCACAGGACAGGTGCAGACTAAAGGGCTAGCCTCACCCTACTCTCTCCACCCCCTAGTCTTGCCCCATAGCTAGCTCTGCAGGGCAAATGTGGGGGGAGCTGCTCCTCAACTCTTGGCAGGCTGTAAGCAGGCAGGAAGGGCCGTGTGGGCTTCCTGTTCTCCAGAGGAATAAAGTCATTGGTGGTGAGTCACCACAGCCTCAGAGGCCTTGACAGGGAGGTGCTCAGCCACCCACGTGGGCAAATGAGGCTACACTGCCAGCCTGGCCACTGTGGAGGATACTGAGTACTGCACACAGCCCGTGAGGGGCAGAGCTGAGATCTCACCCATGTTGGGAGTCGATGTAACCCCGGGTAAACTCTCACCTTCTGGGCTGAGTCTGAGTCCTGGGCTCTTCTTGGAAGCAGCAGTCAGAGGGAGCTCAGTGGATCCGGTCACATCCAAGGTTCTAGGCCTCCTACCCCTTATAACAGCTTACTCTTCCAGCTCCAGGACTCCAGGGCATCTTAAGGAGGTTGGGTCTATCCCATGGGTAGTTCCTGGCTTAGGGGATGCAGACTCAGACCCCCCCGGAATGGGTGAAGACCCCTGGGAGGATGGCGCAAGGAACCTTGGGCTGTGGTGTAGGAGTATCTGAATCTCAGTGTTGTGCTTGGTCTGTAAGAGAAAACTCAGGATGCAGCACTGCCCCTGGGCTTTGTCTCCAAGATGTGCAGGGCAGTACCAGGTTGCTTAGAATAGCCAATCGTGGGGAGAGGGAACTTGGCGGGTGACTGCTGGCTGGGCTCCAGGCAGATGAGAGTAGGTTTGTCCCTGGATTAGCCTGCTTATCAGGCCTGAGGGGAACTCTTCAAGGTACTACTGCAGAAGGCAGGCCAGAGCAGGCCCCATCCATGCTGTCCCTAGCTCTCAGACAATGGAGTGGACCTCAGCTCACCTCTCTGAGGCAACAGCATTGAGTATTTTCTGACAGATCCAAAAAAGGGGAGGGAGACAGGCATTGCCCTTGTTGCCAGGGCAGAAGAGCACCCCCAACTGAGAACAGAGTCATGGGGGTACAGAGCCTGTGGTGCCCCCTTTTCTACCCTGCCAGGAACGGAAGTGGGTCAAGTTGCTCTTTGGGGACTGGGCTGGATCCTTCTCAGGAGATGCAGGTCTTCCACCCAGGGCTCCGAGAAGAGAGATTCAGAAAGGGTGCCTCGCGGGACAGCCCTGCACTCAGAACTGCCCACTGCTATTGTTAATGACTGCAGAGCTGGACTGGGCAGCGCTGCTGATGAAATGGGGCTGAGCCAGGGGTGGAGAACACCTCTAGGACCATCAGGACGGCCTGACAAGTACCTTAGATAGCTGGATGCCCACTAAGTGCCCTCCCCATCCACTCTTGAATGTGCTTGCCCTCGGGGCCAGCGCCTGACTCCACATCCCAACCACCCCCACAGCTTCTCATGCCCTGCCCTTATCCCTACCTCATCGTACTTCTGCTCCTACTGTGTATCGCCATTCTGAGCCCCAACCCGCAGGCTCTGCCTCTCTGGGCAGCCCTGCTTGCACCCCACTCTCTGGATATCCTTCCAGGACAAGTAGCCTGCTATCTGTACCTCAAAGCAGTAGCAGGTGCTCAGAGGGTGTTAGAACCAGAGTTTGTACATGAAGCCCTCAAGGGCAGCTCTAGGGTAGGAGGAGGGATTAGGGGCACCACTGGTTCTCCTTTGGGGTTCCTTGGGTCCTGACTAGGAGCCCTTGTGGCTCCCAGGTTTAGCTACATTAAGAGGAGCATGCATCAGGTATCTGGAATGGGAAGGGAACTGGAAGGATGGAGGGTGTGGCCTGGCTTGAGCCAAAGTAATGGTGGGTGGAATATGAAGTTCATGCCTGGCCGAGAGTCCAGGAGGACAGAAAGGGCTCAAGAAGGAAGCAGGGATCTCCTAGCAATCAGGACAGGAAGGGCTGGAGCACAGGATCTGAGACTGTATCCTCCTGGTTTTGGAACCCCAGAAAGGTCTGGAGCATCCCTACCATGTTTTAGGCTTGAGCTATCCAGTCAACTGGAGCCTCGTACCTGCCGAGAGCAGGCTTCAGGGGCCTGATGGGACAGGAGATGGAAACTGTCATAGCAGAGGAGGGAACAGGGATGGTGACAGCCCTGCCCGGTGGGATCAGATTGCAGGGACAGAGTGACCCTGGAGCAAGCTTGAGAGCTGGCACTGGGTTTCTACCTTTTGTTTCTGAGCCCAGGGAAACACCAGCTGGTGCTGCCTCCCATGGGGACTTACATTTAAAATGCCAACTGGGTGCTTCCCTGGCTATGCACTGGCTTGACTTATGGGCAGGGCGGGACTGGTGCTGCTGCCCTGACTTTCTCTGGACCCTCCTCCGGGTTAGGGTGCTCAGGTGAGGTGAGGGGGTCATCCGAGTCAGAAGGACCAGCTCCCTGGGCTC